AGATGCTCAACCAACTGAGCCACCCAGGTGGCTCTTATGAATTATTTTAAACCAGGGTTGGTAAATATTTTCTACAAAGGGTCATTTGTAAATATCTAAGGCTTTGTAGGTCACAAGGCTTCTGTCACTTAGACTTCTTTGTTTTTTTAAACAACCCTTTAATAATGTAAAACTGTTCTTAGCTCTAAGCCTTGAAAGACAGGCAGTGGGCCAGATTTGGCCCACAAGATTGTATGTTGTCAATGCCTATTTTATTTTATTTCATTTTATTTAATTTAATGTTTATTTTTGAGAGGGAGAGAGAGAAAGTGAGAGCAGGGGAGGGGCAGAGAGAGAGGGAGGCACAGAATCCAAAGCAGGTTCCAGGCTTTGAGCTGTCAGCACAGAGCCTGATGCAGGGCTCAAACCCAGGAGCCGCTAGATCACACTGAGCCGAAGTCGGACGCTCAACCGAGCCACCCAGGCGCCCCTGTCAATGCCTATTTTAAACAAATAGAAAAGTATAGTGAATGATAGAAAAAACACTCCTTATTATCACTTATTTTGTCAAATCTTAACATTTTATCATATTTGCTTCAGATCTTTGTTTATTAATATTTGTATTATCATCATCATTGTTTAAAACAAAAATCATCTCAGATATAGTTGAAATCCTAGAGGTCCCCTCCCTAGTTTCCACATCCCGTTCCAGAAATAACCACTACCCTGAAGTTAGTGTTTTATCTCCTGTAAGTTTTTACAGTGTTATTTGTCATGTTTTTTATTCTTGAAGAGCGTGAACAAACAGTAATAGGAAATAAAATCAGAGAGGTAGGTTGGGGCCAACTTATGAATGACCTATGTGCTATGCTAAACTCTTAGAGTGGGGAGCTAAAGAAGGCTTTTGTTTTTGTTATGTTTTTTTTTTAATGTTTTTTTTTTTTTAATTTATTTTTGAGACAGAGACAGAGCATGAGCAGGGGAGGGGCAGAGAGAGGGGGAGACACAGAATCTGAAGCAGGCTCCGGCTCTGAGCTGTCAGCGCAGAGCCCAACGTGGGGCTTGAACTCACGGAGTGTGAGATCATGACCCGAGCTGGATTCGGATGCTCAACTGAGTGAGCCACCCAGAGCCACTCCAAGAAGGCTTTTGTTTTTAATGTTTATTTATTTGTTTTATGAGAGAGCACAAGCAGGGGAGGGGCAGAGAGAGGGCGAGAGAGAATTCCAAGCAGGCTCCCCGCTGAGAGTGCAGTGGATATTTAGACATGGGTCTCAAGCTCACGAACCATGATCATGACCTGGGCCAAAATCAAGAGTTAGCTGCTTAACTGATTGAGCCACCCAATGCCCCAAGAAGGCTTTTAAGTAGAGGAGTCCCACAGTATTTTTTTAAAGAATAAAACTTTTTTTTTTTAAGAGTAAAAAATGTTAAATTAGGCTCTTATTTTTTTTTTAACTTTTGACAGCAAAAATTTACCAATTGTTCAAAACATTTCAATTAAAAGCTTTATGTAATGGGGCATATAGGAGGTGCGTTGGTGACTATCCCTGAGAAGAAAGATTGACTTGATGATATTATATATAGGTCATTAGTATTTTAACATGTGTTTCAAAATAATTTCTCAAGAGGAAGCAGTATTTATTGTCCAAGTATTTTTTTGTCCAGAAATCTAATTCAAACCTGTATTGGGAGAGATAATCAAATAGAAAATACTAATATGATACTGAGGGATTGATAAAGAGGTATCTAGATACTGGTCTAGATCAGGAGTCAGCAATCTGTGGCCCAAGGGCTAAATCTGACCTACGGCCTATGTTTGTAAATAGTTTTATTGGAACACAGCCACACCCATTTGTTTATAGATGATCTGACTGCTTTTCTCCTCCACCTAAGTTAAGTAGTTAGAGACCCTAAAGCTTGAAATGTCAACTATCTGGACATTCATAGAAAAAGTTTGCTGACTCCTCATCTAGATATCATTTGATAGATCAAAAGATTTCTTTTTTAGTGAATCAATATGTATTTTAACAAGATCCCCAGATATTCACATTTAATATATACATGAAAATTTAAGACATACTATTTCCACCATATCAGACCATTCTTGATGTGATATTTTGTTAAAGGCATTGGAAGTCTTGAAAACATCATTAAATATCAATAACAAAAACTAATTATCGATGATAGTCAGATAGTATACCAGTAGAAATAGCAAAATAAGCCCAGAGTTTCAAAATTCTTCATC